ACTTCAACTGTGAGAGACAGAATTTGACTGGTGCAAATTACTGACCTCTGTCATCATTTTAAGTGGGGGAACTTGCACAATCGGTGGCTGACTAAATACTTTTTTGCCCCACTGTAACCTATGGGCCTTTATCCCTGGGGAGGATGATCATTACAGATATGAAAAGCAAAGCCACTATAATGAGGCTCTAGGCATTATATTTTGCATACATATTTGTGTTTATGGAAATAAAGTTTTGTTTTTTTTAGCATAAGTTAGGGCTGCTCGATTATGGCAAAAATGATAATCACGATTATTTTCACTGAAATTGAGATCTTGATTATTTGACGATATTTATTTAACAATAACAATGTATTGAATAATGACTTTAAAAAGATTGTCAAAAAATAATATAAAATAGTGTGCAAATACTGATAACAGTGCGAATGTTTGCAATATGAAAAATAAATAAAAAAATGTAAACATCTATGTTTAATGAACTTTGCAGTGTTGCTCTGTGGTGCAGCTACGACACCGTAGCAAAGTTTACACACTATGTCTACTTGATCCACGTCTGACTCCGCGAACCCATAATGTTTCCACACCACTGAAGTTTTTTTTACCTCTCTTTTCAACCAACGGCAGTCACTCTCCTCTCCAAATAACTTCTGCTTAGCTTTCCGAGCTTCCCTCGGGTCCTCTTAATTGTTGTGACGTGTGTTCGAAACGCAGAGAGGTGCGCTCGATTTGCCACACGGAGCAGCGCGAGAGTAAAGCACGAGGGAGGGGCTAATAATCGGCTCAGTCATTTTTACTAATCGTTGAAAGCCCAGATCGTAATTTAGATTTAAATTCGATTAATTGAGCAGCCCTAGCTTAAGTATGTGTGTATCCACCTCATTGTACTTTTCTATATTTCTGTGTTCTTTGATACTTGAATTTCTTCCTTTGGACATGTTTTATGGAACTGTTGCATTTGTTATTAAACAAAACGAATCTAAGTTTGAGTACGAGGCTGACAAAATTCTTAAATAATATTCATTTATTTCATAGAGTAGTTAATTATATTACCTGTAGAGCTATTTATAAATTACCAGTGTTTATGTTTCAATTTATCTTGTAAATATGGGCACCTTAGCAAGCAACTAATGATTGACACTAACCATTTTCTATTCCACTTATGTCTTTCAGATTTGCAAGCCTTTCATCGCCATGATACAATACTTCCTGCTCTTTGTCCTGTCTTCTGGGCTGGTGTTATCATCTGACTGCCCAGCAAGCTGTGACTGCCCAATGCAGGGGTCAATATTCTGCATTAATCTTCCTGCCCCCATTGTGCCTCGTGTCCCAACAACGACACAAAATCTCTACATCTTCCAAAATGCCATCATTACTTTGGCTCAAGAAGACTTCAAAGGTCTAATGGAGTTGGAGCTTTTAGATCTGAGCCAGAATGAGCTTACAGAGATTCCGGATGGTGTATTTGAGATGTTGTCAAAACTGAAGAACTTAGACTTATCCACTAACCAGATTACCCATATATCCAAAGGCAGTTTTTCTGGCTTGGTACAGCTGGAGAGGCTGTATCTTCATTCAAATCGCATACAGAGCATTCATTTGGAAGCTTTTGAAGGTTTAGAAAAGTTGCTAGAACTAAAACTGCAAGGGAATCAGCTAACCTCGCTCCCATCACTTCAGTTCCCCAGTCTTCTCCTTTTAGACCTCAGCAACAACAATATTCCAACTTTGAGTCCCTCAGACCTACAGACTCCCCACCTGGAGACACTTAAGGTGGCCTCTCTAAAGCTTACTACTTTACATGAGGATCTCGTAGTCTCCCTGAAGAATCTTCATGAGCTAGACATTTCATCAAACCAGTTAGCTGAGGTTCCCAGGGCCCTAAAACATGATTTCCTAAAAGGGCTGACCAAGCTGAGCTTGGCTGGCAACCCATTGGGGGATCTGAGGGTGGAGGACTTTGATAAATTATCTGGGCTTCAAGAACTGGATCTCAGTAGTCTAAATCTCCAGGGATTCCCACCACATTTTTTTCACACTTTCCCCAAGTTGAGAACCCTGACAACAGCTAAGAATCCATTTGACTGTTTGTGCCCATTAGCCTGGTTCCCTGTCTGGCTAAAAGAGAAGAAAGTGATTCTTGAGAGACATGAAGAGACCAGATGCCACTTTCCTCTAGTTAATGCTGGGAAGATGCTTTCAGAACTGGATCACAAAGATTTTGGATGTCCATCAACCACAACATTGCAAATGGGCTCTCCCATTGGAAGTACTTCTGTTCCACAGTTGCCATACACATCTCCAAGAACAACCCATACCAATGCTATTCCTCCTCCTCCACCACCTAGTGAAGAAACTATCTCTCCAAAAACAGAACCTCCAGTCTTCCCAAGCTCCACCAGTGGGCAATACGAGCACTTTTGTCCACCAAACATCTGCCTTAATGGAGGCACTTGTTATTTTGACCCAGTGGGAGAACTCGGCTGTTTGTGTCTGTCAGGGACATTTGGCCTCTACTGTGAAAATATGGATGATGTTCCTCAACCACCAGCAACTGAAGATTCTATAGTTACCACCGAGATGCCTGATAAATTTGATGCCATCAGTTCACGTCAGGTGACCTCCACATCAATCCTTCTTGACTTGCATCGGTTTATCAAGTCACAGCCGCATATTCGTGGCATCAAATTGACCTACCGTAACCTCTCAGGGCCTGATCGCCGATCCATTACACTGAATGTTCCACCCAACTATCCTGAATACACTTTACGTGGTCTGAGACCAAACTGTACCTATTCAGTCTGTGCTAGTCCTTTGGGAGAGAAAATCAGCTCTCGGGCCAACAACTCTGCTGAAATGGGGTCATGTACAGAGGCTCGTACCGAAGGGATTCCAGTGACATCCTCAGAGCCCTGGGTGGAGACACAGGCATCTATGACATATACTCTCATACCTGCTTTAGCTGCTCTTGCACTGGTGCTGGGATTGGCTGTGGTGGCTGGGACAATCATCTGTCTAAGGAAAAGGAAGCAGGCCAATTCTGGATTGGAGCCTGAACTGGGCCCCACTGACCCTGATCCCATGGAACTGGAGGGGAAACCTTGTCTGGAGAATGGAGGAAACGGTACAACACCCCTCAAACAGCCGGAGATCGATCATTGTTTTACTCCTCAACCACTTCCATACATGCAACAAAACGGGGGGTTGGACTATGTAGCACTCTTAGTGCAAGGGCACTGCCCTTCAAATAACAATGTCACGTCACTAAAACCATCTTATTTCTAACTGTTGGGAAGATTTTGTAAAGACTCCCCATCCATAGTTTCTGATCCTGATATCGCTCACTTAGTGATTGAAATCGAATTTTCAGTCCAAACATCCAAAATTCAAAAAGTGGCATTTACTATCCTTTCAAGGTCAAAAGGTGGCACAACAAAGTGGATGATTTATTTCAGAGTCAGTGAATGGTAAAATTACAATGACATCATATTGGAAGTTTGCAAAATGAATGGGAAGTGGTTTAAAAGTCATCAAGCAGGATTAGATGGTGGTGAAACCTAACTGAGTGCAATTTACTAGAAAGGTCTTAGCGAACTGAAAACGGAAGTGCCTTTTGCATTGACGCAACTGTAACTGACAGTTCTTTTTAAAAATGTTTTTGTTTATAAAACAGAAACAATGTGACTGAGTTGTAATCCTGTTGCTGGATTTAGTAGATATGGTATGGGGAAAGTGCCTGAGTGTTTGAGCTACAGAACTGGATCACGTCACTGGTGTATATGAAAACACCTGGACCACACGTCCCAATACAAACTGGAGTTTCAACCAACTCTGACCGCACCATAAGGATTATAAAAAGATCTTGCACTGAAAAAAACATTTGGATTTTCCTTTCAAATGTTCCACTTATAGACTGTCACAAGGTTAATGCTCAAAAGGAAGTGGAATTAATAAAAATATTTTGAAAATTAGCATTAAGCTGATGACCATATGAGCTGTGTGAACTCTATATTATGTTGTGGACAGTATCTGAAACAAAAACATGCAAGTGTCTTGTGCAGATTTGGATTCTTCTGACCCATCAACCATAATTCTGCCACATCATTTGTTTTTTGTGGGAAATATATTTGCTGTGAAAGGTAAATGGGAATGGATTTTGCCTGCATTGTTCTGTGCCGTCAGAGGCAGATTATTAGTGTTTAGTTGATATTATGGTATTCCATTTTTGTCATGTCTTTTTGTATTTTTAGCATGTCTTTTGTTTTTTTTTTTTTGTTTTTTTGCAGTATTGCTAACATGAGTTTAAACAGTAATTGCCCTTGCCTATAAAACCATGCATAAATGATGGATTTTTGACTGTCCTGAGTGGAGAAGTAAATGGAGAAGTAAATCAAAGCTAAAGTTCTCCAAAGATGAGATCCAAAAGCAGCGAGGAGTAATTAAATATCTACTAAAGCTGATTCATAAAACTACTTTAATCAAAACTCAGCCATTTTTACATAAAATACAGACTGCTTTTTGTTTTTTCCAAAATTTAAACTGAATGTAAAAGTTCAGTGTCAGATACTTTAGTGTCTCTGCCAGGTCTGCCTCCACTCCACAAAGACATAGTTAAACAAGGCTCAGACTGTTTTTGAACAGTAAAGATCCCTAAACTGTTCAAAGGCCTTCAGCCTCAGAGCTCACTCCTATAAAGCAGCACACACGTGCCAAGAAAGGAAGTTCAAAGATTTAGAGTTTTAGGCACTAGTTTTCTCCTGGGGCTGCTGACTGTATCGTTCCAGTGATATCGTCTAGACAGTGGCCCCTTTAGCTTTTTGTTTGCTATTACCCTCTTACTTGTCTGCCCCTTGACTTTAATCATCATCATCGTGTGTTTTTGGTCAGTGACTATTATTGGTTTGTGTAGTTTTGCTTGTTTACTGCCAACCAGACTGTGAAATGTAAATGCTAAAAGCAATGAAATGTATCTGTTTTATTTTTTTTTCCTCCTGTCTGGGGCTAGAGATTAAATAATTTTTTGCAGTTTTTTATATCTTCTTCCTTAAAAAAAGGATTCATACTCTATCACTGAGTATAATAGGTTTACAGAGAAATGCCTGAGCAACATTGCTCCCGAGCCTTACCGACATCTTTTAGTGTCATATTACATGCTGATGTGGATTTCGAGAACAATAGAGCCTTTATTTTGTCTCACAACATATGGCATTGCATCAAATTACAAACTAAAAATGAAGCACCATGCAATCAATTTTTGTCAGGATTTTGACAAAAAAAGGCCTTATTTGATTCTTAGTTATCTAACAGCAGTAACTTACATGAGTTTGATTGTTCAGATGTGTATGTGTGTGTGTTTTCACGGCTGTTTTTGTGTCCCCTTTTTTATGCTTCCAACCCCATATTGTCCTTATATAATACTCCCAAAGTGTCCAAAATCAAGCACCCATTTTCAGTTTTGACTGTTTTATTTTGTCAATTCTCCAGTCCAAACAAAGCCACAGATGTTCATGTTTTCCCCTTATCCCAACATATCAGCTGAAACACTCGCTGTGTTGCTTTGGACAGTCGTAGGAGAAGGAAATGTTTGAAATATTTTCAACATGCTTGTTACACTACTTTCCCTGTTTATTTAGGGAAACTTGTATTTTTGTCATTGTTGTATGTTTTTCTTCTGTCTGTCAATAGCATTTCTGTGTACATTTTTTTTTTTTTGCCATAAAAGCAATGCTGAGAAAACGAACAGTATTAAAATGCTCTGATGATAACACGACTGTGGTTTTGTGTTTGATCAAGAGGTGTTGGCTGAGGCCTGAAGATACTTTTTATATGATCTTTCACTGCAGTGTATCCTGCCAGTGTGGTTTAGAAGAATTCGAGCTCATTTTGAGGCTTTATGTTAGTTTTAAATGAACGCGAGTGTCGTCATAGAAATATGGTAAACAACTGGGAAAAGGGTTTCCATTAACAACAGGAGCTGATTACACGCAGCCTGTAACTCCTTATTACCTCATTACACACATGCACACGCTTAAGCTAACCTAAACCACAACATGATTACTTTGTGACGTTGTGTTGGTTTGTGGATGGAGGTCGTTTTAAGTATTTTTCCCCTAATAGCAAAGAACAGATGCCAGTGGAAAATTTTACACACTAACAAACAGGTTTCGAATCAGATGTTAAGTGACTCTGCTGCTTCATAGATATTGGAGCAGACATTCAAGTTTATCAGCTAACACTAGCAGGCTTTGTTAGCAAACCTCAGCTATACTATATATGGGTGTCTCACACAGACTCCACAGAGGCTAATTTGTGGTCCCACACAAGTAAATGACCATTTTGTTCACCAAATCTCGAGCATTCGAATATGCTACAGAAAGCACAAAATGACAAACATGACGACAAAGTGCCATTGACTGGCCTTGTCTTGTCAGCATCTCTCAAACACTCACACTGGCTTTAAGTTATGAAAATATCACCCCTGTTCACTTCTCTCAGACAGCTGGAAATGTGTTTTCTTTCAGCTGCAGAGTTGAATATTTTAAAATAGGAGTGTATGGCAGCTCAGGGAACGTCCATGGCATGTTAATGCCCATTTTCATGTGTAAGAGCCCCGACTTCAGTTCAGGAGAAGAGGAGGAAGAGATTTTATCCAGATGAGGGTCACATTATTGCTTTTCTTCACATTTTTTTTCCACTTTGTTGTACTATGTACTGTGGACTGTTTCTATCCATATACATAAACTGCAATTGGGCAAGAGGGCATTGTTCATCTCGGCCAAAGTATTGATGGAGAGGCAACATGGCAGCGTGTGCAATCCGGCGTCCCATTCCTATGTATTTTTAATGGATTAATTACATTTACAAAAATGCAGTAATTTATTGGAAGACAGTTAAAAGCTAAACAATGTATGTTTATATGTACAATTAAAAAAAAAATGCACCTTTGAGGACTTGCTATTCATGGCCAATTTAGTATCCCGGTTGTCCAAGCAATTGACGAAAATCCAGGTAGCCAAGGTATTAATAATAACCATGTGGAAGTTTAGATTATTAGGTCAGGTAAACAAAAAGCCTGCTGATCCAAGCAAACAGCAACAATCTTGACCTCACTCTTCAGGTATGTTCTTCATGAAACATGAGTTATCTTTCAGATGTCTCATGCAAAAATGCCATGGTCTTGGAACAAAATGCCGAAATGCTATTACTTATTCTGCTATTTTTAGCTTTGTGATATCACTGACTGGATCTTTCCTACTCTGCTTATCCAATTTTTGTGGGATAAGTTACACATTTGCAAACTGCTCTGTTTGGATACAGTTTAAAAGAGAAGAACTAAAAGCAAGACTGAAACTAAATACACTTTCACTGCGTGAAAGTTTTGCATGAAGGGTTGACCCGCTGAACATAAAGGCAGGGAGTCTCTATAAAAATGCAAATACCTAATTATATATTCATGGAAAAGATTATAGCCTTTTGGAATCTAAAACATGGAAGAGATTAACATTAAGGAGATTTCTTTGAAAGAGCTGGAGAACTGACAGAAGCCACTGTGGCTTGGGGAGCAGGCTTTTATAGATTATCATTCTAAATTCCACAGAAAATTACTAGGAGGGTAAACTTTTTTGTTTGGGTGTTTAGTGTGTTTGCTGCAACTACTTTTGATGGGTGAACCCTTCTATGGCATTCTATAGCTGTGGTAAGAAAAGATGGGTTGCTTTTTTAGAAGTCACTCAATTAACCTAATAAAAAGAGCAACATGAGCTGGAAGACCAAAATAAGCTGTGGGAAGGGAGTTTGGGAATGTCTGATCAACAGTAAAACCTGTAAAATTCAGCGATGAACTTACAAAGAAGGCAAATTGTCGAGGGCATTTTCTAACAGACTCTGACAGAGGAGAGTCAGTGGAAGCTAAGAAACAACAAACACCTTTATTCTCAGTTTGTTTTAGCCTGACAAATATGGTGTTATTTTTGTGCCACTATTCTGAGCGCACGTAAAAAAAACATTTGCAGGTGCAAGTGTTGCATTTTGAGAAGAAATTTATTTTGAGTGAAGAAAAGCTAAATTTGAGTGAACAAAATTCATTGCTGTGTGCAAAAAATGTATTTCAGTGTTTGCTATCATCCATACACACACACAATAGCAGCCCCTCTCGCTCAGTTTTTGCACTTGTGCTTGCTCGCAATGTGTTGCTTGCGCTCTCAACATTTCTGCCCGTGCGTTCAACTCTTTGTGTACACCGTTATATTTCTGGCACAAAGTAGGCGATAAACAAACAAGAGAGGAAAGCCGATCAGCTGATCATTGATCAGTTTCATGATTGAAGTAGCAACAGGAGAGGGAGGGAGAGAGAATGAGAGAAGAACAGCCAGTTGTGCAGCAAAAACACAGAATCACGTCAGCTTTGTGTCTTTTTTTCATTCTAGCTGAAATACGAGACAAATCGCGTTCCTTTTCATCTCAATATGGCTGTATTGTAATTGGTCCAGCCCAGAGTTGATCATGACCAAGTGGCTAATCCACCACCTTTCACTGTTTATACCGTTAAAACAAACAAGAATAAAAATGTTGTGCGGTCAGCTTGTGGGCAACAGGCATCTCCGAAAACGTTAGAGCACTTTTGCAAATATGTGATGTCTTGATGCAGTGGCGGTCCTAGCCTGTTTGGCGCCCTGGGCGAAGACTCCCTCTGGTGCCCCCCTCTCTCTCCCCTTTCCACGGGTTGTGTGTGAGACTTTAAATCATCAAAATATAAAATATAAATTTTAAATTGTTATTGATCCCTTTACCCCGAGTCCTAAAGTGTATATTTATTTTCTTACTCTTCTTATATTTATTGTTTGTTTACTTGCACTGCTGTAACTGGAGCCTCGTCGTCTCGTCTCTCTATGTACTGGACTGTATGTAGCGGAGATGACAATAAAGTTTACTTTGACTTCAGCAGCGAGCAGGGACTCAGGCGCAGGCCAGTTGTTTCCTATATGCGAAAGACAGTGCGTTTATTTACAGTGAACACAACACCAAGTGGCTATATACAATGTGCAGGGGAAAAGGGGGTCCAGGTAGCCAGGGTCTGTGGGGAAACAGGGATCAGGGAAAAGGTACACTCTCTGTACAAAAGCTCCAAGTCCTCCTCCTCCTCTGCCACTCCTCTCGTAATCGGGTTCCAGAAACAATCTACACACAAAAAGGTCAGGTTAGCGGGATAGTTACAAAAGCTTACAGATTCAGATTTGCAGATGCACAGGTTGACTGACGCTGATAGCTCAATGATCCAGCGAAGACTAACGTAGATTCGCCATCTTCAGTAGTACTGCAATCAGCTGGGATCAGCGGCCGGTGCGGTGATGAGAGCAGGTGTGTGTGGGCCAGCAGCGGGAGCCCGCAATGAGCATCGCCGCAGCGACAGAGAGGGAGCGAGAGGGGGAGAGGGAGGAGGGAGAGAGCGAAAACCAAAACAAACATGTTGCCAGCGAGGCACAGGGACCATGACAACACCTAGTCTTACTTTTTTATGTCTGGTGTTA